TAATGCAAAATGGTGATGTAAACTTATTAAACTCCCCACTTTCTTACACAGATCATGACGCTTTTAGTTTTCTTTAATTTGCCATATAAATCAGTCTGACTCGAACATCGCATTCAGGAGTAAAATGACATTTTTAAACATACTTTCTTTACTTAATAATCGGTACTCCTATTTTTCCATGATAAAGAAATTCCATTTATTTTGTTTAAACCGATTTCTTAGTTTAAGATGTGCCAAATACATTTTTATTAGTAGCTTAAGAGGTTGTTTGAGATAATAAAAAATTGAATTTACTACCTTCTCTAAGGGCATGTAAAAACTATGTTTCCAAAGAGTTGGGTAAATTATTTTGGGTTGTAGTTTTTCTCATCCTCTTCCTTATGTTCTCTCCTTCATATTAACAGATTATTTTTAAAATTCTCCTGTAACCTATTGTTGATTGGACACGTCTTAGTTGAAACATGATGTTTTCCTTACTTTGTTTTTCGAACAATCGTTGCTTTCAATACTTCTAATTGCTTATTGATACATTTACCCTTTATATAGAATTTTCGTTAAAAATCTCCTTCATAAATGTTTTTGCTACGCATCTAACACAACATCTTTTATTGGAACTTCTTGCATGCTTGGCCACTAGGCTTCTTTGCTCATTCTTTTTTTCTTCAAATAATTTTTAGTATTTATTTCTCTATCCGGTTCTTCTGTTTATAATTTCATACTCCTGCCTCCCAAGTATACTTTATCCACTTTGTCTAATTTCTCCGGCTTTATATCTGAAATAAACTTGATTCGAAGTAAGCTGATGCTGTTTCCACTGCAAAGATGAATCAAGAGGGTAGACGGAAATTTTTATTTAGCAATATCGTAACTCTGCGGATCCATTTTTTCATTTACTGACGTCTCTTCTGCATTGAGTGGATATTTTCATTTGCCTACTAACCACCGGGTTGATTGAATATGACATATGATGCTACTATTTACGCGAACTTTGAGGTCACTTACACAGAAGCAATGGACGTGAAGATAATGTTGACAGTGATATCAGAGAATTATTTCATCTTAAAGTCAGGGGGTCAAAAACGTTGAAATATTTTAATGAATTTACCATCCTGATTAAGCTATTGCTATTAAGGAACTGTTCGGGACCATATACTATTTTTGGGAGGTTTGCATTAACCCCTTTTAAGGTAGGCGTGGGTAGCAGCATCAATTAGGCTTATTTCCAGTCTAGTTTATATCAATTCATTATATTCTGATTACGACTATATTTATAATTAAACATTTAACAATTTATCCTTATTCTAAATGAATCAAAAGAAAAAATTTGTTCGCAAGCAATTTTTATAATTTTAGTATATCCAAAAGATTTTCTGGCTAGGAACCTTTTTAGTAATAAGAATATTCTTCTTAAGTTGTAATTGCCTAGTCTTCGCCTTTTAGTCCATTACAATTTATATCAACAACTCCATGCTCTGGACAAACTTTATCACTTTACTATTTTCATTCTTGCTAACTTTTAGTTCTCCTACTTAAACACAATTTTACTCTATACAAAGGACATGTTCGAGTTATTCTTTCTGTGTTATTTTTGTTGTATTTTTCTCTTCTTTTAACTCCTCCCTGTTTTCTATTATATTCATCAGATTGCTCTGTTTTAAAGCTGCTTGGATGATGAACGTTCTGCATATTGGTCTTGAATTTCCTGAGGACTACTCCAAGCTTCGTCCAATAAATGATTTGAATGGCGCTGAGGTGCAGTGGAGCCTGGGCGCCTTACTTCACCTTCTTCGTTTCTATCCTCTTAAGTAGGTACCCTACCTTCTTCATCTCGTTTTTTATGCTCCATAGCTCTAAAGCCTTTTATTGTTTTTATTTTTCATTGGTCTATAGACCCATACGTAAAAGATTTCCTTTCTTATATTATTAATGTCAAAATATACTAGTTGAGGCCCTAAAATATATCCAATATATTGCTTCATGTTAACAACGGGTGCTTATCTCCGCTTTACCAAGGTTATAAAATTATGTGAAGGTGATTATATCATGTCATATTTGGTAAAATTTTCCAAAAAATCTCTTGCAATTTTACGATTTATTAATTTTTATGCCTTTATTATTACCCCCAAATTTATGTTTATCAGAGATTCTGAATATCATCATGTATATATCATCTAATAATAGCATTTATTTTTATTTGGTTCTTAAATTTCCCATGCGCTTCGATCTATGCTAGCTTATTGCTTGTCTAGATTTGTAACCACCTGTTAATCCTAAAGACTTATAAGGAAAAAGCTTACTTTCCTTTTATTGAGCAAATTAATAATGGAAATGATAAGTTAATGATGCTACTTATTACTTGTTCCTTGTTCATTGCCATGCACTCGAAATAATTGGTGGATTCCACTACTACTCAAACAGAGTAAGCTGATAAGATCCATGTGTTTTATAAACGACACTCAATCATGTATAAGTGCAATGCTTATATATTTGCGGTATTTAGCTTTGCATATAATATCTCAAAAACCAGAACTTATAGTTTATTTGCTTAATTACCTAATCTCACAATAAAATATCAGTGACTCTTATATTGCAAGTTTATTCGTTTACTTTCTCATTAGGTTTGTAATTTGGGATTTCACTTAAGGGACTTATGAGTATTTGATCGCTTTTCATGGGTCTATTTTTGTATTGTACATAAAGATGTTGGATTTACTAAATCTGGCTACATACATATATATTAGAACCCAAGAAATAGACAATTGAGAACTTTTACTACAATGCACTCTTGCCTGCTTCAAAATTTTTTTTTCCTAATATTTTTTAAATATGCCTTGTTTTACACTCAAAGTTTAAACACATGCTACTATATGCTTTTGACACTCATTCTTACTTATTTATCATTCCCAAGATTTTTAGCTTCAGCTGATTCTACATCTGCCTGGCCATTCTCCTTGATTATGCTGGTAACCTTTGGATTCCTACTTTTCATTATCATTGGAATTGCAATCTCTGCTGCCCTCAGACGTCGTCGCCGGCTCCTTTTGCCTCTTCGTGGCTTAATTGGACGGACCTCTTCACAAGCTGGTGCACTCGGTGATCCGTATTTCTTGCCCGCGACAACTACATTGCATACGAATGCAAATGTTCTTTCCGCATCAACTTCATCGACTTCTCGTAGACCTATGATTCGCATCCGAAACTGGCGCTGGATATTTGGCAATGGCAGAAAACCGCTTGATTTAGAGAGGGGTTTAAGGGCAACAGGATGTCTAGAGGGCGGTACATCAAAATGTGTTGAAGATACTGGCATGACGCTCATGGCAAGTCAACCCATCTGGGGGGACCACGATAGGCATCAGATGCTTGTTACTAATGGAGAGATTGAGGCACCCATTTCTGCTTCTTCCGGTCCTTTAGCTACTGTTGTCTCAGACACTACTTCGAATATCGCGATCCGTCGATGGTTGCCTTCCTTGGATATCGACAAAGGTGACGAGGCCAATGCATTGCTCCTTACACTACCAGATAGATTTTTGGGATCCTCTGATGTCCCTCACGATCGAGAGGTAGTTGACCGTGTTAGTGACTACTCACCCGCAAGTATCCGCAGATAGGCGAATCGTTATTGATCAGATTGACTATAACTACTGCCACTAGCCTGGCTTGGTATCCTTATTCACCTCTATTTTCAAAGGTTTCTTTGAACTAGATTCTTCGTCATCTTCTCATTTCCTCACGTATTCATTCAAATGCTAAATGAATCTCAGATCGACCCGCCCGAATCATTAAGCTCTTTACTCAAATTTCGCTCCATCTGTCTGTCATAAAATGTTCCTTTATCAACTAGCCGGTTAGTTTCTAACTGGTTGGGCCCTTTTTCCGTCGCTTACTCATTTTTAATTGTTGATTTATTTTTTATTCGTATTTACATTTTTGTTCGTCTTACACATCCAACTTGCTCTTAGCCACCTATGTAAGAAAATTTATATTAACTTCATGTTTTGCTTCAGTTCTGTTTTTACTTTTTTATTCTTTTTATTCAACCCTAAATACTCACCTTCCCTCTGACCCTACTATGGAAAATTTACAAATAGCTCACATTTACTATTTTCCAGCTAATCTTGATTGTCCTACCCTTAAGTTCCCCCTACCCTGCACTTGCCCATTGTATACCATCCTATTCGAAATTTAATATGTCTCCCTTCCTAGTGAGCATTTAAAATTTTCCTGCTTCATTTTCTATAATACAAGCTACGTGATTAAAGATATGACTATTTGTTATATACGAGAAAGATGTACTTATCTTAATAAATTCACTCTCCTTCATATTTTTCCTCACATAGACAACTTAATAATATTTTATACAGCAAATTTTCCACTATCCCATGCATATGCCACTTCAACTCTTGGTCTTCCAAACTTAAATGTAAAATCTTACGTTTGCTATTACTCTCTTATTTCAAAACTTTTTAAAATGACCCCATTCCAACATATTCTCACTTTTGTGTTACTTTATCACCCTCTTTAACTTCTTTGACTTTGCATCCATGATGAAATCTCTTCACCTTTATTTAATCCATATGTTTTTGTACAAATTCGCCAACTCTTTGACTATTGTACGTTTTTTGACTCATTCATGTTATTGCCACCATCCCTATTCGTTTTCCAATTCCAGTCATCTGATGGGCTGTTCTTTTACTAGTTTTTTGTATAGTGCCTTTCTTGTTTGCATTATATGAGACTGAAAGCGTTATATTTCGTCTACGGCATATTGCAATGTTTTATTCCTTAGGGATTTATAGCATATATCCAATCTGAATTATGCAATGCTTCAGCTGATTGGACTGACAAGTATGACTATTTGGTGTTGAGCATATTCTACTTTGTATTGATGCCTTATGTTTTGAGTAAGATGATGAATTTCAGGAATAGGACTATTATTTATCTTTTATTTGGTTATGCCACTTTCAGTTAGGAGTATTTTTTAAATTGTTTCCCAATTTTTCTGAATTTGCTTTTTCCTCAAGACATCTTCTTTGACTAAGAGGTTATTATTAAGATGCTGAATAGGACAAGAATGGTGGTATTTTTATAGTGCGAAAATGTCCTTACTGGAATCACCTGAAATTATTTGTATCTCTGGACGTATAAAGTAATTTTAATTACTATTATTTAGATATCATTTTGAGTTTTTAATCAATTAGAAAATCGTGATATTTTACCTCCTTTATTGTTAGACAACTCATGATAATCTGATAAGAATTAAATCTTTATTTGAACTTTACTACGGTTTATGTCCCCCAAGTCTTTCGCGTACTGAGCTAAGTTTTTCCCTCGCCTAAGCCTAATTAACGCTCCAACTTAATCGGATGTGATATTAATGTAGCTGATTCACATTTTCTTATTTGAATCAACTTATCGGTTTAGCTTTCCTTACAATGGCTTGAAGTTTGTATGTAAACTTCATATGTTGTTTACCTGCGTTTCGTATTCTCGAAATTTCCGATCTTCAAGGAAAAGAAATTTAACCGAATCTAGTGTCAATTCTAGAGCTATTAATATTCTGCTAGCGGACTTAATTTAGCCTCTAGGCTTCGTTAGAATACATAGATGTTTCGCTTCTGTCAACAAAGCGGGACTAGCATGAGATGAGTAATATCAGCGCACAATGTGCTTCTCGACTAACGTATGCCATGCTGGGTTTCTTTAATCTTTCTGGGCTCGAAACCTAGTCAAAGTGCGAATGAAGAATGTGAAACCTGCTAGATTTTAGGCAGATGGCGTAAATCTGTGTACATTTATGCCGTAGTTGCAGCCGAGCAAACTGGGCTGACTGCAAAACCTTATCTCTTACATGTAGACAAGCCCTTGTAATTCTAGATACTATCCGTACATTATCATCCCCAGTTCATCAAAGCATATATAAGCTCCTGGGATGGTATGGTGGCTCAAAATCCTCAATATAAAAGGATTGATATTGGCATAACATAGCGGAGTTTCCCAATGATGCAATCATTTACCAGGAATAGTTCTAGGCTTGATCTTGATCCCTCTAGTTGGCAAATAAATACATAAGTGTGTAATTTCTTGATTTTGACAATTCAGAGTTACTTTACGACCTAGTTGAAACGCATGAAAAATGAATTCCATTAAAATCAGTTTTATCCTTATCCATCTACATTTTAAATGTGCCAAATAGCCATTAGTCGGTTAGTTAATAAAATGAACGACTACAACTTTAGCAGTTAAAGGAGCTAAAAACAAAACTGATTTCTCATTTTCAATAATTATGCCATATTACTATAATTATGGATTGGCG